GCCCTCATCCATGATCCAAAATTAAGGTTTTCTTCACGTTATCTATTTATCTCTGTTGTCATCCTGAAGTATAATATGTTTTCTTGCTCTCTGGTAATTCATCTCATTTGATTTTGTAACTCCAGCACAGCGTTTTTCAACCGGGGTGCCGCAAGAGAATGATTTGGAAAACGTTGATTTTGTAAAACAAATAAAATGCTCATGATGGCGGTCTCCTGCGTTTTCTGTAATTTATCTTTTTTCATTGAAATTATATTTGTGTTTGTATGCATCTTATTTAATGTACTTAAAAATTTATAGTTATGTAAACTGAAGAAGTATTTGTTACTTTATGTATTATGATTTTTTTGAAAATGCAGAAATAAAAACAAACAAACGAACAAACAAATATCAGAAACGGTTAAAATATGTAATAACATGAGAAAATAAAATTTTGAAGATACTAAAGTGTCTTCCTTCCTCGCTCGCTGACAATATTTTGACAGCAAGGCAAATAAGGGCAGCGAGAGGCCCGAATATCCTTTTATGGTGACACGACATTTGCTCCTGCGACAATTGCTCCGGGCTTTATTTCGTCTAAGATGTAGGGTTAGGGTTAGGGTTTCAATAGGGTTTTATGTTAGGTTTAGGGTTAGGTTTAGGGTAGGGTATAGTGTTGAATCCAGGGTTGAAGTTAGCCATTCGATTAGTGTATGAAATTTACAGCGGAGCAATTGTCGCCGGAGCAAATGTCATGGAATCCCTTTTATTCGTGAATCAAGGTCATGACCGAATATATCACTTTTTATTCATGTACATTCGGCGGCAAGGTGCCCGCATACAGAACTTTAAATCGTTTCTAGTGTGTGGATTTTAAACTAATTTTTTACCAGTTTGAAAATTTCTTCTCCTTTGTATTCTTAAATGTGCCCATACGTGTGTGCACATAGCACTTGACGAGTGCCAGAGTCATGCAAAATTAATAGTCTGTAAAGACTTTGGGATTTGGGAGAAAATTTTCATTTCTTAAGAGGGTACCGTGACTAACAGAAAGTTAAAATGACGCTGCTCCAGAGAAATGTATTTCTATGCATTTTGAAAAGCGCTGGACAATTACCTAAAACTTACATCCTTCGTGGAAAGCAGCAACCGCACTGGCGTTGCATAAATTATAATAAAAGGGAAATGTGTAGTAATGAGGAAGACGACGTGCTATAGTATTTGAACGAATATAGGTTCATGCAGGGGATCTTATGGGCTCGTAGCCATCTCTCAATGTGTCAGACCGTCTTTTGCTATTGAATCCTGATTGTCCACGGGGGTAGTTGTCCTTTGGGGGTAATTGTCATCGGGGGGGGGGGGGGGGTGTCCTCGGGGGTAATTGTCCTCTGCATGGGGTAATTGTCATCGGGGGATAGTTGTCATCGGGGGGGGGGGGTAATTGTCCTAGGGGTATTTGTCCTCGGGGGTAATTGTCCTAGGGGGGGGGGGTAGTTGTCCTCGGGGGGGGGGGGGTAATTGTCCTAGGGGGGTAGTTGTCCTCGGGGGGTAATTCTCCGGGGCGTAATTTTCCAGGGGGTAATTGTCCTTGGGGGTCGTTGTCCTCGGGGGTGATTCTCCGGGGGTAATATTCCAGGGGGTAATTGTCCTTTGGGGGAAGTTTTCCGGGGGTGATTTTCCGGGGGGTGATTGCCCAGGGGGTAATTGTCCTAGAACCAAATATTTCATAGAAAATTCCTTAAAAGCTTGCTTAAATTCAACCGTGGCACTGCAAACTAAATAGTTTATGGCGAAGTTGGTAGATTTGCTTTAGCTAGTAAAGTGGAGAAACGTATGATCATTTTTTGGGCGAGGGTTAGTCAGGGTAAAAAATCTAAGCTTTCATACATTATTTATAGTCTGTTACGTAAGGCTACATGAAAGTTGTGATTTCGAATCAAGGTGGATTGTGAAAGTAAAAAGTATCCTAGACAAAAGTGGAATGTCAAACTTGTGGGTTGAGGATACCCCCTTGAACCTTGGTTGGGTTAAGTCAGCTTTGGAACTTAAACGATATTGATTTGCAAAATTGGAATAATGAAGTTTATAGAAATCGTTTATGCTTAAATTATAAGATTTTTAATCAGGAAGGTGGTTTGGAGAGCTATTTGTTGAAATTGGACGTATGTGATAGGATACCTCTTTGTAAGTTTCGTTGTGGTAATAATAAGCTGCCAGTTACCAAATGTCGTTATTTATCTGATCCTAGTAAGCTTACCTTCATTTGTTTGTTGTTCGCTGCCAAAGATTCTCTTGTTTTTAAAGATTTTCTGTGTGTGTTTAAAAAAAAAAAATCTATATGAATATCATTGTTGAACATTATATATGTACTATTCAACTGTATTTCTTCCATGCCCCAGAAGGGGCCGTTAACGAAATAAAAAATCATTGTCATTGTCATTGTCATTGTCATTATCATTGTCACCCCCTTCCTGTTAAGACGCGTCAATCGGGGTAACGTGAGATCCAGATAATATCGAGGTGAGTTTCATCCGGACGTTGTCTGGATGACATCCTGATAAACGGCCTGTTAAGACGCGCGCGTAACTCTACCCGGGTAGAATGATGTTGTTAAAAGGATTATGAACTCGCTCATAAGTATGCGGAGGATTAAGCACTGTTTGACAAAACGTGTATTTACTCATTTATACTATTTTTTAATTCTTCCTCACATTGATTATTGTTCAACTGTTTGGGGATCACTGAAAATGAAAGATTTAAAGCGACTACAGAAATGTCATAACAAATATTGTCGTTTAATATTAGATGCAGATTATGATACGCCTGTACAATCTATGTTAAATTCTTTAAAGTTGCAATCCGTCCAACACAGATTGGAATACAATTATCAAGTAATTATGTATGAAATCCTGAATGCTCCTGTTTATCTAAAACAAGCTCTACCTCAAAGTGCTAACCCGTATCCAACGAGATCTGTTTCAATGCATCAATTGTACCTTGCCAAACCCAGAACCGATTTAAAAAACAGACCTTCTCGTACAGAGCAGCAAAGTTATTCAACTCACTACCCATACTTACCAAATGTTCCGCCTCACTACCCATTTTTAAACGAAATGTCCGTGAAATTCAAGTGTGTTAATTTTGCGATCGCTTACATGCAGTATTCCTACCACCCTCTCTCTCTCTCTTTCTCTCTTACGTTTACTCTCTCTCCTCTTCCATGTGCATCTAATTTCCTATGTGTATGAAATGTTTTATAGTTTGTTTATATTATGTTGTTTTTTATTGTATATTTTGTGTATTTTTATGTGAATTGTAAGATATTTGAAATGTAATTTGTTTGTTACAGCAGGGTTCCCTTGTAAAGCAGGCCTTGCGGCTTGAATGGGACCACCCTGCTTTTATAAAGAAGACATGAACAAATACATAAATGACATCGCGATGAGGGAGGTGCGGTTGTTATGGTAACCTACCCGGGTGAAGTTTTTGCGGATGGCTGGTTAAGACGGTGTCCCGTGAGCCTGGCAAAAGCTCACCCCATAATGCTTGGCCGTCCAGAGGATTGGTTTATGTTGGGGACCGGGGTAAAATGCAATAAATTATTGAAAATTTATTGCATTTTCTGTTTTTTTTTTTTTTTAATTTATGGAAACTGACCCCTACCCTAGCACCCGCTGCGTACAGTTATGGTTCAGTGACAAAGCAATGGCCTCGTAACTGTGAGGCCCCATGATCAAAACCGTGTCGATGTGCTATATTAGTGCCCTTTTGTGGGGGCATTAATCCTCATTACTGTCATTTATGACTTAAGGGCGTAGGTCCCCTAGTTGATAAGCATAGTAGCATACACATGCTTTAGCAGTCACGCAAAACACACATTGTCAAATTATTATTCAATAAAATCTGAGAATGTATACTATTATCTAGATCTATTATTTTTACATTATTTTTAAAATAATTCCATAAATTTAGGTAAAACAAAAATATTCCAACTATATGAGCGACAGTGTACAACAGCATTCCCCAACCTGTTCGCAATCGCACATCTTTGTCTTTATTCAAACGATCTCTTTCACAACTAAATTAATTAATACCATAAGACCTTACAGGTAATACAAAGTTTTGGGAAATTTTGAAAATTGGGTGGATAGAGATTCTTTACCATTTTGATACATACGGATGCCCCTGTGGTTTATTATAAGCACCAGAAATTTTAGCCCCTAAAACACTTCTGCTTTCGAGAAAAATTGATTATAAAAATTTACCGGTGCTCCCGGTAAATTTTGATAAATTTCAAATAGCGCCTACGGCCGTACAATGGTAGGTGCGACCATGAAAATCTCAGAGTATGTAGTTGTGATATATAATTTCCAAACGGGAATAGCTAATTCGTCGATTTTAGTCAAGAAACATTGTTTTATAGCTTAATAAATACCTTGACCTTGAGAGGGAGCTATACAACATAGAGAGTTTATTATTTACAATTTCATAACTTACGACTCGATTTCAACCGCGACAACGATCACTGAATATTGTAGGATCGCATTTGCTTCCAATATATTAATTTGAACCAAATGTATGACCCCATACCAAAACTTTGTATTACCTTTAATATAATTTTTTTTTCTTTAAATACCATTATTCTTGTTGTTTTGTTTTGTGTTGTTCTGCCCCCCCTTTTTTTGTTTTCCTTTCTGGTCACAATGGAAGACCAGCTGCACTACGTAAGTGCAGCTAAAAATGGGCTATCCGGCTGTCTGTTTTATCTGACTTTTTTTTGCTTGCTCCGGTGGACGTTCTTAATGTTGTTGTTGTTGTTTTTTTCTTTTTTTCTTCTTCAATTTAATGCCATGTGATTTTTTTTAATTTTTATGTTTAAGTTGATAGAATTCTTGTTATATTTCTTTTGCTACTTTCTTTTCATTGTGAATTCTTTTTTTTTTTACGGAAATAAAAACGAAACGAAACGAAACCCTTTTAGAAAACGATGAGCCTGGAAATCGGAAATAACTTTGTTGATCTCATACATTTACGTACCACCACTTTCTGAGGAAGCATGTTGTCTTTAATTTCATTCATGGCGTAATCGACTTTCTTTTCAATAATCAGTCACCATATTTGGATACTAGAATCAGATCACAGGTCATTTCCAAGCTGCTCCGTCGTACTAGGATATATAGCCTTAATGGATATAACTCCAAGCGCAATCTTTTCGGACTTCACTATTGGGCACTGCATCTCACTCTCTGTGTTGCTGTGATATTGACAATGTCTGGGGATTCAATACGTGGATGGTTTAGGATGTTTCTGCCTCTTACTCTGATATGGATTCTTTCATCTACAACAGGTTTGTACGAAACGTACTGGATGTTTCTACTATTCTATTCCAAAAGCATGGAAATGCCTATGAAATTCAAATGTGTCGAAACTTGTTTATTTTTTATCACCAGTCAGTAGTTATAGCAGTGAGTACCGGGACGGCCATAGGTTTTGTACACGAATTTTTTCGTACTTATACTATTTCTAATTGACTCGTGTACATTAACTTTGACATTGTCTATTTTCGAGAAAAAACGGACTTATAACACGCGTGTCTATGGGGTTTTGACGAGGTCCTGACTTTTTGAATTTAATTAGGGATTTGTCATTTTGGACTTGTAAATTTTTTCGATAAAAACTGACTTATAACACGCGTGTCAATGGGATTGTGACTTTATGAATTTTACTTAGTGATTTTCTTTGTTGGACTTAGTTTTTTTTTCAAGCAAAAAGTGAATTACAACACGTGTTTCTATGTGAATTTTGACATTTTGAATTTTACTTAAAGATCTTTAGGAATTATTGACGTTTTGAATAGTGGATAGGTATTTTATTTGTGGAACTGACTCTTAACACGAGTGTCTATGTAATTTTGACTTTTTGACTTTCTTTCTACCGGTATAATTTGTGTTTTACTTTCTAAGGAACGTTTACAACGCCGTTGTAGGTTGGATCAATATCTATTGTTCGATCAACTAAATAAAGGAACGTGTATTTACCCATACTGTGATCCTCGCATGGCAACACGGGGAAGCGTATTGCAGTCTATGTGTATAAAAGGTATTAACTTTGTATAGGTCTAGTTTCTTTTGTATTTGAATTACCTCTTTTCAACAATAGAACCGTCGTTTCTTATTGATCGTGTATTGAGTTTATGAACCTCTCAACAGCCTTTCGATAAATGAAGCTCGTTTTATTCCGCCCTGTTCGTACCGTCGAGTTCTTTGGACTTTCACACAACACTTTGATACTTATAGTTCAGGGCTATGTTTGGACTCTCTCAAAACATCATCAAAACATATTTGAATACACAGATAACAATTGCTATTTAGTCATGTTACTAGAGAACAGAGATAAAATATACAAAACATTTTTAACTAGAGAAATAGAACCCAAGTCACATTATTGTATTTTTTCATCGGTAAACAAAAAGTTAACACGATTGTACAGCAAACATACACGCCGTAAATCCGTAGTTTAGCGTCGTAACATGCCGTAACGCCGTATCGTTATATCCACAACGCATTTGACGGATCATTCATCTCTATGCTAAATCACCAAGTTTTCTAGAGCACCCACTCTCTTGTTGAGGTTTAACACTCTATTATTAACTCCGTAACTCTATTTCATACTTTCACCATCTCGACTCTATTTCCATACTTTCAACATCTCGACTCTTTTTCACACTTTCACCATTTCGACTCTATTTCACACGTTCACCATCTCGACTTTATTCCATACTTTCATTAATCTCGACTCTATTTCCATACTTTCAACATCTCGACTCTATTTCATACTTTCACCATCTCGACTCTATTTCATACTTTCACCATCTCGACTCTATTTCATACTTTCAACATCTCGACTCTATTCATTCTGGACATACGTTGTATGTTGTACGACTATTGTGACGTAGAATACACACATCCATGAAATAAAACACTATGTAGTACATAATTATATTTTACTTTATTTTACTATATATTTTGTTTCCGTTTCAATGTGGACAACTTTATGCAAAACCAGATTTGAATACAAAGATAAGAATTGCTATTTAGTCATGTTACTAGGGAACAGAGATAAAATATACAAAACATTTTTAACTAGAGAAATAGAACCCAAGTCAGATTATTGTATTACTTCATCGTGAATATGTAAAAACTGTTAACACAATTGTACAACAAACAATTAGTGTTTATAAATAAATATCTTTAAAACATAAAACACAATAGAAAGTGTTTTTTTCTCAGAAAGGTTGATTGATGTACAACATGTTGAAATAGAGTAAATTTGTCATCTATTACTAGGGTTGTCTACGAAGTGTTCTTTTTCAGGTTGATGTCAAGCCTTAGTTGTCGCTTCCATCTGCACCCTCCGTCTCCGTCTCTTCTTCACTATCATCGTCATTCTCATCCTGATACTGGAATAACCCCTCGAATTGTGCACCGTGTCTTGCTAAGACTCTTTTCACGGCTTTCCGAAGATTCATGCCATTTTCTACTTTTTCCGTGAGATCAGACATAATTTCATCATTGATGTCAGCGCTTCCAAGGTACACATTCTGCTGCAAGAAGTTGGAGTAAAGATCGAAAAAGCTGCGTTTGACAGCCCATAGAACTTTCACGTGAGCCTTTTCTTTAGCTTCTTCTTCATCCATACCATCGGAGATATATTTTTGATATTTTTCGTCCCTGAGGTCCTCGGTGTTTGTCATGGCCTGTTCTAACCATTCTTGATAAGCAGGGTTGTCCTCAGGTTCTTTCATGTCAGGTGTCTCTGACTTTGACGATTCATCCTCTCCTTCACTTTCTGAATCACTTTTTTTCAGATTCATCGCTAGATTCTACAACTCTTTGCTTTTTAGAGGGTGGTTCGGAGTAATCATCTTCACTAGTTTCTTCACCAGCGTTGGAATTTTCAGTCTCGTACCCATGATCTTTCATATCAGGATGTACATTCTGTGCGTGCCTCTTCATGTCGAACTTGCGACTATAGGTCTTATCGCATAGTGAACAAGCGTAACGCTTGGACATATCGAAAGTGTTCGTGTTGACTCGTTGATGTTTAACTCGGATTTGATTCAAAGGAAATTGAATCTTTATAATTATAGTTTTTCATTTGATATATTTTGTTATTTGATACGTAACGCCGTAGATAACGTCGTAAATCCGTAATGTAACGCCGTAAATCCGCAGTTTAGCGCCGTAACATTCCATAACGCCGCAATGTAACGCCACAACGCCGTATCGTATTATACACAACGCATTTGACGGATCATTCAGCTTTATGCTTCATCACCAACTTTTCTAGAGCACCCACTCTCTATTTGTGGTCTAACATTCTATTATTAACTATTATTCATCTCAGCTTCATGATCAATCATTATCTTTTTTTAGAACATCCAGTCTATTACATCTCCCCTGTATACACCTTCCTCTTCCTCCGAGAAGAAAAAAGAAAACTTCGAGAATAATTATGTAATAGAGATTTTACGGTATTACACGTGAGTAGATAATTATGTCTTTATTCCTGTTGCTATAAAGCAAATGTGACTTACTTCTTCTTCTTTTCCATTCTTTCCTTCAGCATGATCAGGTAGTTTAACCGTGCATTTAACCTATCGAGTTGAACGTGTTATATGTCAAAGTTAATGTACACGAGTCAATTAGAAATAGTATAAGTACGAAAAAATTCGTGTACAAAACCTATGGCCGTCCCTGTACTCACTGCTATAACTACTGACACTTGCGACAGATTAGTTCTTATTGATAGAAAAAAAAAACCGTCATGCTCTCGTTTTTAATACGTATAATCTCTTAACGAAAGAATGAATAAGACCCTTATAAAATTACATTATTATATAAACTAAAATGCAAATGAGCGTAGCGGGCGAGCTGTTTGAGAAATTGGAGGGGAAAATGCCCTCATTCGCTTTAGATTACGGAGCACATAATATTAGGAAGGCTATGCGAATTCTGTTGTTTCAGGGGAGACGGGTCGGGGTGGGGGTGTGACAAAAATATATTGTCTTTTCCCACTTAAAAGGGGGAATTTGGGGGAAACTTTAAAAAAATGGGGGCACTTTGCCCCCTTGCCCCCCCCCCCCGAGCGCCGCGCCTTTGCTATTTTATCCGAAGATTAAAAAACAGCTGATGAAACTTATACATTATAAAGTGAAAGCTTTCATAAACAATGATTGTTATGATTTAAATGAAACTAACATCCAATGACGGACTGTGCTTATTTGCGAGTTTGAGTCTGTCTCCTCAACAAAGGCCCGACAATGAAATTAGGATGTAAGATTTAATTTATGCATCTTCTGTAACTTTTCTAATCAGCTGATCGTCTATGTCATTGTATGTATAATGGACCCTCATCCATGATCCAAAATTATGTTTTTCTTCACATTCTATTTTTGTTGTCATGCTGAAGTAAAATTTGTTTTCTTGTACTGTAATTTGTTTTGAAATAGAAATTGCCTTTAAGTTATATCTACGGTGCCATGTCAAAATATAATAAATATCCGCTCTCTGGTACATTCATCTCAGTTGATTTTGTAACTGAGCAGCGGAAAACGTTGATTTTGTGAAAAACAAATACCAGAAGCGGTTAGAGTATGTAATTACATGAGGAAATAAAATGTTAAAGAAAATAAAGTGTCAGTAGTTATAGCAGTGAGTACCGGGACGGCCATAGGTTTTGTACACGAATTTTTTCGTACTTTATTTTATTTCCTCATGTAATTACATACTCTAACCGCTTCTGGTATTTGTTTTTCACAAAATCAACGTTTTCCGCTGCTCAGTTACAAAATCAACTGAGATGAATGTACCAGAGAGCGGATATTTATTATATTTTGACATGGCACCGTAGATATAACTTAAAGGCAATTTCTATTTCAAAACAAATTACAGTACAAGAAAACAAATTTTACTTCAGCATGACAACAAAAATAGAATGTGAAGAAAAACATAATTTTGGATCATGGATGAGGGTCCATTATACATACAATGACATAGACGATCAGCTGATTAGAAAAGTTACAGAAGATGCATAAATTAAATCTTACATCCTAATTTCATTGTCGGGCCTTTGTTGAGGAGACAGACTCAAACTCGCAAATAAGCACAGTCCGTCATTGGATGTTAGTTTCATTTAAATCATAACAATCATTGTTTATGAAAGCTTTCACTTTATAATGTATAAGTTTCATCAGCTGTTTTTTAATCTTCGGATAAAATAGCAAAGGCGCGGCGCTCGGGGGGGGGGGGCAAGGGGGCAAAGTGCCCCCATTTTTTTAAAGTTTCC